CACAAGTTGGGAATAAAGCTTATTATTATTACATGTTGCCACACAGAAGCATAGCACCTGATAAGTGACCGGCCCTGGAAGAAAGATCGCTTTCTCCAGAGAGGCAGCCAAAGATACCAGTACCGGCTTCTTCTACGTGGGTAGGCAAACAGGGGTCTCGAGGTCACTTGGATAATCTGATTGGAACTCCCTTGTGCCCTTTTGGCATCTTCATCTTATAAAATAAGGATGATGTTTGAGGCGCAGTTTGCTGGTTCAAGGATTCTGCAGCTCTTTTGGAAAAGCCTTTCTGCTTCATCAACAGACAACCAGACTCCCAGCAGTTGCTCATAATTTTTTAAGTTCATACACCTAATAATAACTACTGCCCACTGACCATACAGTCTGCAATATATTTTAACAAGGTCCGTCCACCCTTCATTCACATTAAGTACTGTGAATGAATTCCGACTGACGGTTGCAGACACTGAGACCGTCACAGCTGGCTTTCAGACACTCGAACAAGTGGAAGAGTGAAATATTTATGGGGCTTACAAAGTTATTGAAACCCTGGGATAGAAGTCTGGCAATTGGCCTGACAGCGTACAGACGCAGGTGAAAACGAAATAAAAATACCGTAATATCGCCTCGAAATTTAGCAGGCGTGTTCAAACTGTGCTTTTTCAATTCATGATTCTGAGTCCAGTTCGGAAGGAAACAGTGAAAATAAAGGACATTAGACCAAAATTTGCTCTTAATAAGTTACCGATAACTTCAGTACCCAGTTCTCATCATCGCATTCAGGAGAAAAGAGCAGCAGGTACCGATGAAGGCGAGCAACGAACCAGGGGTTCAGTTTCATCATCACCGCCTTGTGTTGTCACCTTTGAACCATAATAATAATGATGATAATGATGTGTATTCCCAACAAGTGGGTGGCTACAGTCAGAATAGAGCAAGAATGGGGGATTCCCTGGGATTGCGCAAAAAACGACAATGTCATGAATAGTGGGCAGTATCAGACGCAGCATTGAACACGCCTCAACCGGCATGGATAAGGATGTATAGTTACTAGTAGTTCAGGTTACTTTAAGGGGAATATTTCAAGCTGAGATAAGATCAGATAATTAAAGTTTGAAGGTGAGGTGTAAGAACAGAACGAGAAGGGGCAAAATAGGTTTCTCGCTTGGTGCATGATGAGAAAACTTTAAATTGGAAAACGTGATGAACCAGAACGACGAATCCGTTGCGGTGGCTAAATTTTCAGTCTCGGGCCGGTCAGTGTGAAATAATGTCCAAAACCACAGATGAGACCTAATGGGCCTTGGGCTGTTAGGCTTATGGTCATGGTCATTAAAAGCGAAGGTGGGGATGATGAGTTAATCAGCAATACGGACAAATGGTGGTGGTAGCCTTACAGCCATGGCGTAAACTGAGACCGTAGAGACTCCCTAGTGTCACTGCTCGAGTGGGATCTGAAGTAGGATTTCTTGAGGGAGGAATTTTGATGCTAACGAACAGGGCGGAACGCGAACCGCACAGAAAATGATCAACGTTTTGAGCAACACAGAATAAAGGCAAACGAGACACAGTGCACCCTACAGAATATTCGATAAATTGTGACTTACTTCGCACACTGTGGCAGCATTCTCAGTATTTTCAATTTCGTATTACATTTTTCAACATTAGTTACATTTACTTCTCAGATGTTTTCATTCCTATTGTTATGCAAGGTTCGGAGCAGATCCTGGAGAGGTCCACACGATGGTAAGGAAGGACCTCATTCTTGGCGCGTCATTTTGGGTCATTTTGGTCATTTTGGGTCCTAGGCACCTTCAATACTTTGTGCGGAGATGACGGCATCTCAGCAACTTTAATAATTAAAGCCGCGCACATTTCATCCATATGAACAGGCTTGGAGCGACAAGAAGGCTTAACGGGGTGCTTAGCTGGACCAAATGCCGCAGAATCCGAGGAGGATATCGACCTTTTTTTTAGCAAGAAAGTGCATTTCCGTTCACTTGGACAATAGCCGGGAAAAAGCGCTCTAAACATCGTTGTAACGATTGCCGGATATCACAAGGATGCCCACCAATTTGGGCTCAGCCCTGAGTAAAGAGCATTACTTTTACTTTCACTTCACCCGTGTTCCAAATTATGGAACATGTTCCCCCTTTATCCATGCAACAATATCTCATGCAACCTTTCAAAATATTCCAGATGCATGCTTCTTCACTTCGGTAGTCGGGTGCCTTTTCGTGCCAGAGCTCACACTAGGCACTTTTTTAAAGAAGACCTTGAGCCCTCCTAGGTTGCGCTCCCACCCAAGCGGCAGCATTATTTGTCTTAGCCTGAGTAGTTGTCAGTTGTAGAACCCTGGTGTTAGGCCATACATGTGGCAGCTTACCTCCCAAGCCGTCCTGGCCGGCTATTCCTCCCTTACGCATCTCTTATGGAGAAGTTTCACTTCCTGAGAAAGCAACCTCACCCGTCCACTGATGTGCAGATCTGCTACCGGCAGCGTCTAGCGCCTTCCATCGTAATTCTTTTCATGCCGACCTCAACAAGACCCGTTATTTTCTGTTACGGTTGGCCATAGTTATCTGTTCCCGGACAACTTATGCCTCGTTCCTTTATTCCGCGTTCCGTCCCTGCATTTCTCTGCCACATCTGCTTAATGTTACTGCCTTGCTTTACCAAGAAGGGAACTGAAAGGATTTCTTGTTTTAATCCGCAGCCTACACAACATTGTGGAACATCAACGTTTGACATGGTGGTTCACACCAACTATCCAATTTCGTTAAGCTGTAGCGCACAGGCTTTGAACAGGTCCATTCTAATTCCACTGCTCAGAGAATAACCACCGTTTGATTTATTTTTCCGCCATCCGCCCGCTGCAGCAGCTGCTTCTATTTCCCTGTTCGAACTAACTGACCTACTGTCCTGGCCAGGGTTTCTACATGACCGGATAAAATATCTGACAGTTAGTGTTCCTTGTTATTTCACAAACTACAACTATGACTGCTTGGTGGCTTGCCACCTTGTTGATTTGTTAGCAAACGCGCTAAATGAAAACCCATGTGGTGGTCTTTTGTGAGCTCTTCGTGGAGGGTCGCTGTGTTGCACTGAACCATAGTGCGTCAGTATACGATCCATTCCTTCTGAAGCACAGGTGTTTCACTCATCGTCAGTGCTTCAGGGACTGTTCGTAAATTAAGGGTATCCGTAGTACAGAACCGTTGTTATCTGTCCTGTATGTCTCTCGATAAGTAGGGCGGTTGACACCACAGTGAGTCTATTCAACCCGAGCACATGAAGATGGCCTAGTGGCCAGGTGTTTATACCACCAAACCTAATCGTACCGCTAGAATGTGCTTAAACGGGAACGGAAAGCAGAGCGGGTGGTATTGTGAAACCTATTTAGTTGTCAGCCCCTCGACAAAGTTATATTTACAGGTTCGGCAAGTTGAACGCTCCTCGGTCGTACACGTTGCGGCTGGCTAAACTTGGACATTCAATTGTTTTTACAAACTTTTCCAGAGTGGGATATCTGGCTGCTACCTCCAGGGTAAGATGAAATCGGTGATCTTGAAGATATTTTACTGTAAAGCGAAAAGCATATGCATTGGCGTGGCACAGAGTGGAATTGGAGTTAAGTTTATGATTGCAAAACATCCATCTGTTTCGTGGCACAAAAGTTACTTAAAATCGAAGGTGTAGTTCATCAGATGAACAGGGGTTTAAACCGGGACCAGAAACAGCCAGTAATGCCATCTTTAACGATAATGGCAAACTACTATCAGCTCTCTGTCCAGGTACCTTCTCGTTGGCGTGATTGCCATATCCTTCGACGGCAATTTTCTGCCCCTTAAATGTATATCGCCTGTCCAGCTGGACGTGCCTGCAAAAGTCCCTAGAGTTGCGAAATACCTACTTATCAAGGTGGCAATTCGTAAATAATCGGGCCGTCAGAAGCACACAGGTGAAGGAAGGACGGGTAGTCTTTCTACTGTCATGGCAACGGCCTGCGTGCAGATGACCTGAGGATGCGTCATGTGTCCCCTATTTTTCGTCCACCACGGATAGACCAAAGCTGCTTGTAACCTACCAACCAAATGAGTTATTTTTGAAGTTTTCACTCTTCTACGATATATACGCCTTCTACGATATACTGGAAACTCTTAATAATAATAATAATAATAATAATAATAATAATAATAATAANGGGCCACAAACCCGTCAAATATTCTCGTTGTTATCCACCAGTTTTCCGAGATATCCAACGCGTCACAAAATCCTCAAGAAACCTTTTCCACGGAAACATCCAGCTCATACGCAGCGGATTCCAGTGGAGGAAAACTTCTCACAACCCGTCTGGTTCGGAAACTATCGCGTGACCTTGGTCGTTTAGCGCGTGCACTGAATGAATAATTGGCTGATTAGGCAAAATGAGACGAACCGCTCTCAACCCAAACAGCTCCCTGATTCGTTAAATTCAAGCAGCCGCAAATGGAAATCAGTGTGACATTCCAGTCCGTGCAAATGGACCAGAAATTCATATCATCAGTCATGATTGCAATATTGACGCGAAGCAAAACCTGGGTGCTCCGCTGTACTAAACGGGACCAGGGTTTCCACCCCCGAACATTTGTGAGTACCTAATCAACCTGGAAACTTGCCACATAACTATTTGCTTTAACGACGGTACGGAACATTCAAACTTATCAGATTGAATAGACAAATGCGCAAGATACGATGAATTTTCCTGAAATTAAATGCTAAAATGCTCTATTTTCCGGAAGTGGGTTGTGTTGTTAGTTTAAGCACTTATAGATGGTGAAATTGTGCCATGGCCAGTTACAAGGTAGCCAGCGGGCATTCTTTCATTGACCCGAGACGTCAACAATTCACCAGAATAACATAGGCCAGACTACCAGCTGAAAAGTACCAACCAATGAGAACGCTGAATTCCACTGCAACTCGCCTTCGCTGTTGAGTCCGTTGGCACCTTCCACACAAAAATGAAAGGCGAGGTTCAGGCTCCTGCGGAGATAGATGTGGGTGACGCTACCGCGTCCGACAGGTTGGCAAATGGATTTACTAGTGATGGGGATGTGAAAAAAGACGTGGACCAACTCACATTGGAAGACATTCGTGAGCAGATTCGTTATATCGAAAAGGCAGTTGCGACAAAGGAATTGAATTACATCACCCGGGTGATTCGGAGCCTAACATCTGTTCGCCGTAAACTGAACCATAATGTATTGCGCGGGCTCGTTCAGGGGTACTTCCCGAGCCCATCGCCTCAAAAAGCTTATTTCATGGAGTTTCTACCCGAGGTAGGTATACGTAGTGAATTTTACCCTCCATACTGTAGGCGATGGATACAGACTGTGCAGTCTCACCGTTTCGACCAAGAAGTGGGAAACAAAATGTACCTTTGTTGCCGGAGGTGGAAGCCTACCTACATCTGCTCTTGCTGATATTTCTTATCGACGAAAAGCACTATAAAGAGGTTAGTTGCGGTGCTAAGAATATGACCACTTCAAATAGGAATGATTTAGATTATTTTCCCGAATTTTTCCCAGGGTAAATCTATTCAAAACAGGTCCCCTTTAACTCCCATAAAAGGAGTGCCCCATAGCCTTCCACCTTTCCTATGCAACCAAAGTGTTTGTATCAATATAGATAGGAAAGCTTCTAAAACACCCCCGTTCAGCTGTAGCGCCCTTTCGCTACCTAGCTGGCTGGGATTCTGTCACGTCGCCCAAGCCTAGACAGGGAAAGTCGAGATGCAGTAGTCAGGATCAAACCACGGACCTTCCGGTCGTTAAATTCGCGCTCTAAGCACTGAGTTATCTCCTTACGGTTGCAACAGGATGTTTCCTGTACTCGGCTGTATCTGTAAGCTCTGGATGCAGACCCATCGCGGTGGAAGCTGTGACAGTATATGTGGACAAAAAAGTTGAGAGTATGTGGATTTTGGCCGATGAGCGGCCCATAATCCTTGAAAATTGGACGCCAGTTGTTCGGTTATGCGTGTCACTCAAAAATAGGCAACACTCCGTAAACCGCTGCAGATGTAATTCAGAGCATGCGACGTCAACCCAATTCCTGACGGCCAGTACAGGCTTCCACCTAGTACATCTAGGCAGCTAAAAGAGATGGGAAGACCAGGGCATTGGCACAACCCGCTCAACGGGTCTCGATGCCATACAGACCGACATCCACTCCCCTCGTGACTGAATATATCATAGAAGAAGTGTCAATTAAGAATTGAGGTTCTCAATCGCTCAACTGCCGGTAGGTGAACAAGTTTCGTCCGTGCCGGGCATGCGCTACCTGGGGGACACTGCTGGGTGTAGTCGTTTTGCTGTCAGGTTCAGCTGCTATATCTCGGTAAAGTTCAATTTAAACTAGTTTGCTCAAAGTGTTTCAGTCTATAGTTTATTAAGTCTTGGAGCCTATCCTATTGTTCTGTCACAACTGAAGTAATTGCTTGCGGATTGGTCAGTTGATTTTATCATCTGGTTCCTCTTATGGCCAGTTTGCCAATCTCCTAGTGCTAGGCCTTATTTCATCAAGACGAATGCGACCTATGCACACCGTCTACTCACAACTCATTATATGGAACCCTTCAGGGATACCAGCCGCTGAATCTTGTAATATATGGTTGTTGGTTTGTTCGGTTGGGATGGGCTGCAAACGTTTCATCACCAATCAAGGTGGCGTCATCGGTTTGAAAGGTATGGGTGGGTTGATTGTTATGGCACACCACATAAAGGATGAGACAACGCGTCATAACTCAATGGTTGTCGAATTTTCACTGGTAGGCATTTGTTGGCGCTTATACAAGAGTACATTTCTGCAGTAAATTGCCTTATTTCTTCTTTTACTGGAGTTCAGCTATTTAGAAAAGCACTCGCACTTGATGATCTAGATGGTCTGGGCTGGAAGTCCTCGTACATACTCATTTTGCGCGAGTATATGTAAATAAAGGCTGGGGCAATAACCACATAAGAAACAAATCCTGTCCCTGCCTCAAAAGCTGATAAAGTATCTGGATGCAAATGAAACCTCATCGACAGTGCAAACCTTGCAACATGTTTCCCATTACTTTCCCTTTCATGGGGAAACGCCCCTTTCCAGGAGACGTCTTTTAGTTCTTTGAAGGTGTTCTTGTTGGGATAGTATTGTAACTCGCTTCAAACTGATTTATGACGACATCTTTCCTCGAAAATAATTTGGACGCTTTCGCCACACTTCTTTAGTCTTTGTATTTCAGTACCCATGAGAGCATGAAAGTCTGCTGAGTGCATCGGGCTTCCCTCTGCCGGCTTCTTAAAATTCGTAACTGAATTATTCATTGAGGGCACGTTTGCTATATCTTCTACCTCTGACATGGAACATCTTCCCGGAGATCTATAAAGACCTGGAGTATTCGTAAGTTATTGCGGTACTTGGTTCGGATTTCATCCAGATACTAAGTACACAAAGTGATATAATTTTGCCACGCAGCCGTGTATGCGCTGCATACCTTCAAGGTATGTAGTTCTGTCACAAGAATGGGCAAGTTCATCGCAGAAGTTGGTCATGACATCAGAACCGCTGGAGGTAGTGGACACATTTAGGTAGCGGGGTAGTCCCAGCACGTCGGATGAAGCATTGTTGACGAAATGAATGCCAACTATGCCGAAGCGCGTTCTCCTTTCCTTCAATTAGGTACCTCTGTAGTCTGTGTGACAAGCCTGTCCGTGAAAGACAGGGGATAACACGTGGCAGTGCGCCCCTTATCACTTTGCGGTGTTGCAGCCTGGTCGCCGCACGTTGGAGACCGGTTTGCTTGTTTCTGACCATCGCCTCCGAAGCATTTCAAATGTGCCATAGAAACATCGGATTGACACTATGGGCTTTTGAGGTATGTGTTTTGGCGAAGAGTTAATTCGGCTGTAACGTTCGGCTGCGTGCTACCTTTACCCTTGACACTATGGGCTTTTGAGGTATATGTTTTGGCGAAGAGTTAACTTCCTGTCCAATTGATTATTTAATTCGGTTGTAACGTTCGGCTGCGTGCTACCTTTACCAGGTGGTCGGCTGCCTCGCTTCATCCACTTTGCGGGAGCAGGTTCCAACTGGAAGGTGTTGCAAGGTGGACAGCAAATGACCTGGCGAGGGAGCATGAAAAACATAAAAGAGTCTGGGCTGCACTCGTGTATGTCATTTGCGAGGCTGGTGTATCAGAGGCCCACTACATTATTGGATATGGGTGCTTATCGACATAGTGATATCACGGTGTTGTGTACATTTAACGCGTCCTGACCATTAGGCCCTGTTTTCAAATACTATTCTATGCCTCTGTTCCACACTACCTAATGTGACCACATCATGATAAGATACTTTAGCTCATTCAAGCGGATCACAAATGATGGTTGCACGTCAACATCGTAGTTGCCTGTTCGTTTACTATTGGCAATTACTCTGGAGTCAGTTCATCTCACGGCATTCATGTTAGCAGCCAATCAAGTATACAGTCGGTTGTCTACTTTGTCTTCGAGCATTCCCACTGTAGTTAATTAACAGCCATCAATTTTGCGTACCGATGCCGCTGAAAGCAGTTCGTTCATCGCTATTTTACTACCCACCAACTAGTGTGCCTGCCAATTGCCCACAGAAGATCGTATATCTACAAGCACTCGGTGTATGCTGATGTCTGCAAACCAATCGCATTCTCCTTTAAGCACTTGATGATTCACGTAAGCAGAATCGGATGCTCGAGCATTGGTTCCTGGTGGCACTCGTATGGTTTCCACAGTGTAAGTATAGCGTGTAAGAAACTTCATTAGCCACGGGAGAGTCCTATGCTCGTCCACATCACTACCCGCGGAAGGTGTCAGGCCGGTTCTCTAGAGAAGTCCTGAGAAGGATTTTCAGATTTCCAAAGAGTCCAATTCTCAATAATCGTTTCGCTGGGTTTCCAGTTCATGGTTTGCAAATAAAAGATCGCAATTGCTAGTAGCTGTATTGACGTCATATTCTATTGGCTAACTAGTGATGTTAAGTAGGATACACCAGCTTGGGTATGTCTTTCGAATACCAACAACTCAACTTGTACAGTCATCTCCGTTGAACCATATGAGAAATGACAGGTAATGACAGCAGTCACGCCTAAAGGCAACAACCAACAAACTTTGCTGCTGTCTGCTGCACGGAACTTCCGAGAAAGGGCACGTCGATGGTCAGCGCCATTGGCAGATGAGGCCATTATCGCAGCCATCGGCATTTATGTTCCCAAGTAATTACCTTCGGTGTACAACTAGCCGTGACGAATCTATTGTCTGTACTCCCTCCTCGTTCAGCTGTAACACGACTACGTGGTTCGTAATTTATTTACATGTTCTGGATACCTTTTATTGTCCCTAATCAATGTCCCTCGTCAGTGAACAGTACCAGATTCGTTGTGGTTCGTATCTGATAAAAACAACAAGGAGTCGATTGATGGCCGTTCAGCATATATATCTTACAATTCCTAAGGGTTCATGTGACTAACTTTGCACTCACTTAAAGACTCAAAGTCTAAACAGTAACTCAGTCCAGGGCTTGAGCTCGCCACTGGCTTTTCGATGGTTTCTTTCTAGGTTTGAGTAACTTAACCGTATTTCAGCTCCCATGGCTCGCTCGGGCTTCATGCAACCTGCCGTACGGTTTGATTCATTTGGGTAAACTAAACGATGCGAATGTATAGGGGACAGAATGATGGGATCGTTCGCGCAATCAGTGGATAAACCTGAGGTGGTGATTTACCGCGTCGGTGAGTGAGTTTGTCACATTAAGATGGTTGGGTCGTGTTTTGTGTTTTTCCACCTGTTGTCTGCCAAAGGAGGTTGCATTTTTCGTGTGCGCTGTCCTACGAGTCAACGGCCACACTCAGTCTAAGGCGTAGTGAACTGAGGGCCTGAGGGCCTTACTATAAGCAATTGAGTCGGTTCAGCTCGTTTTGTGTCTATTGCATTCATAGCTTGTTAACATCTGTTTGTGAAATTGAATTTTTCATGCTTTCTTGAACCACTGTAAGACGCCAGTTTAACTGTTGTGGACTATAGAGCATACTGAATACTACGTTCAGGTAATTTGGTGCATCAGTGTCAATGGGGTGTCTTCTGTTTCTCTTCTTTGCAGCCTTTCCACAACCCTGATTGCTACTTATTTTCCATTTCCTTCCTTAGGCAACGAGGTGTTCTGATCTGCTGATGGAAAGGATAAACATGACCAACCGGCGTTCGATGGCGCTGCTTGCCAGTCGATGCTATTACTACCATAGTCGAAGTTACGAACTGGTCGAGCGTCTAGAAGCCGTTCGACCTTTTCTTCATGCTCGCTTGTGCACCGCTACCCTCAGATCGGTGAGTGTTTGACTCAATGTCCCTCGTCAGTGAACAGTACCAGATTCGTTGTGGTTCGTATCTGATAGAAACAACAAGGAAGGAGTCGATGGCCGTTCAGCATATATATCTTACAATTCCTAAGGGTTCATGTGACTAACTTTGCACTCACTTAAAGACTCAAAGTCTAAACAGTAACTCAGTCCAGGGCTTGAGCTCGCCACTGGCTTTTCGATGGTTTCTTTCTAGGTTTGAGTAACTTAACCGTATTTCAGCTCCCATGGCTCGCTCGGGCTTCATGCAACCTGCCGTACGGTTTGATTCATTTGGGTAAACTAAACGATGCGAATGTATAGGGGACAGAATGATGGGATCGTTCGCGCAATCAGTGGATAAACCTGAGGTGGTGATTTACCGCGTCGGTGAGTGAGTTTGTCACATTAAGATGGTGGGATCGTGTTTTGTGTTTTTCCACCTGTTGTCTGCCAAAGGAGGCTGCATTTTTCGTGTGCGCTGTCCTACGAGTCAACGGCCACACTCAGTCTAAGGCGTAGTGAACTGAGGGCCTGAGGGCCTTACTATAAGCAATTGAGTCGGTTCAGCTCGTTTTGTGTCTATTGCATTCATAGCTTGTTAACATCTGTTTGTGAAATTGAGTTTTTCATGCTCTCTTGAACCATTGCAAGACGCCAGTTTAACTGTTGTGGACTATAGAGCATACTGAATACTACGTTCAGGTAATTTGGTGCATCAGTGTCAATGGGGTGTCTTCTGTTTCTCTTCTTTGCAGCCTTTCCACAACCCTGATTGCTACTTATTTTCCATTTCCTTCCTTAGGCAACGAGGTGTTCTGATCTGCTGATGGAAAGGATAAACATGACCAACCGGCGTTCGATGGCGCTGCTTGCCAGTCGATGCTATTACTACCATAGTCGAAGTTACGAACTGGTCGAGCGTCTAGAAGCCGTTCGACCTTTTCTTCATGCTCGCTTGTGCACCGCTACCCTCAGATCGGTGAGTGTTTGACTGTTCCATCACTATGCTTAACACTTTATGAGCTGTTCCAAGGATGTGTTTCGGGTATTTGCCAGTCAGATAAACTAAAAGTAACGGCCGCCAAGTCGATATGTTGCTTAGCAGTTTAAACTGGGGAACAGCGAACTCCTGTTGATTTCCTCTTACCGACTTTTTATGCAGTATTTCAACACGCAGCCCACTCGACCCTATTCAGCTACGTCATTACTCAAGTGGGCACACATTGGTCACTTGTATGGGCTTCCATCCTCTTGATGGTGATGATGACAGTAATCGAAAAGGTGATCCATGACTGAGAAATACATTGCTGTTTTCTTTTGCTACCCACAAAATAGTTGACTTCAGCTCCGGATACATGTCGATCTCAAATACCACGTGAAACAGCACAAGAGTTGGGGTAGCCAATGAAGTGAAAGTGGTTTACTACAAACGGGTTTTGGGATTTCTTATTTTTTGGAGGAGAGCGATCTGAATGATTTTTAAATGTTTTCTTTGTCCATTATAACATTATAAAGCCCAGTAGATTTTACATTTGACCATGTTTCACGACGCGACGACTGTTCACATCCTTTTCATCAAATTACTGTTCACTTGTCTAGTCTCCCAAAGCCTCTTGCGCGCGCCAATCCAACCTGAAGTCGTTTTTTTAAACTGAGCATCTTGTATACATATCTCACTCGTGACACAAAAACATCTTCAACATAGCAGACTCCGGACTAAAAACAGGATTCCGAGGAAAGTACGTTTCTAATTTTGGACTGATCTGTTTGACCAATTTTGAAATGACCCTTAAACTCAGCAGGATAATTGAACGATGCGACGTTGCGAAAACACCTTGCTCCGTTTTCTTATGTACGCCCCTAACTTACTCAGCTTAACGGAATTGTTCTCTGGCTCTTGGTCTCTATGTGTAGGCAAGCTAGTCTTCTAGTCCATGGGTGGAACTATGCAGCGTGTTCCTTGGTTTGATTTTTTTGCATGAGCACCGACTTGAAACTTCGTGTCCTATTTGGGTGTGGACATTGTTACGATATTCCAGCTTTAATGGAACTATGGTTCGCATGAATAAATATAACCACGTCACGTAGGGTCATCACCCACAAGTAGGAAGTAGGACGAGTTTGCAAAGCTGGAAAACTGCCAGCGCCTTCTACATTCTCCCTAACACTACTCCACTGGCATCAAACCCTCTACATATTTCTATTCGAAGTGACGACATTGTTCATCCGGGCTGGCGCTCCTCTGTGGCTTCCGCATAGGTCTGCATGGTACATCCAAAATAATCTCCGGAAGATGAAGTCCATTCGGCTTCATCAGCTGTGCTCTTCTATCCTGGGTTTAAGTTGGCCAAGTTGAACATGACTTTCAAACTTCGATTGGTTGATAGATTCCAAAGGCACAAACAGAAGTTAAAATTTTGATTGTGCTGCAGCTCAGCAGTTTTTTAAGCGGCATTTTAACCTGTTTGTCAGTTACGTCACCAGATGTTGCCTGCTAGTAGCAAACTTGAGTGTTGACTTGGGGTGCATATTTCGTTGGTCTGCTTTTTAAATCCAGAAAATCGTGCGACGTTATCAGTTCGTTTGCTTCCGCTTCATTCAAACGTTCCTGCATACAGTGGAAGCTGTCTGGAAAATTGTATATTTTCACACCTCAACTGGTTACGTGGCTTCATCCTTCTCTAGCCTGAACCAGCTGAATGCTGCCGGACAACTCACTTCACGGATCTATACGGCGATTCTGTTACATACTTCAGACGCCCCTTGGCCGTCGATCCCTCAAATGCAAATCGGACGACTGTGCTGGTCATTTTTTGACCCCTGTTGCACACGGGCTAACGGGGCTCTGACGGCGCCAGTTGGATTCTCCACTGGCATCAAAGTGCTAAATGGGTCAACTGGAGGAACCACTCTTTACCTCACCATGAATGGGTTTTGCACTCCACGAGGAGAACATGGGCTCCTCGTTAGTACTTAGTACTACTGAATTTGGCGTGAGAACAATGTGACGCTCATCACCGAACGCGGAATCCGTCCCCTTGAAGGTGGCAATTGGTTGTGTAGGGGCTAGGGAAACAAAATCGAACAACAGACCCGACGGATTTGGCAGATGACATCGATCCAAGCTTCGGCGGCTTTTCCATGAGTTCTGCTCTCCGTTACTTTCTGCCGTCTTGCAGTCTCCAGTTGGTTGGTTACCAGCTCTTTTGAACTCAGAGGGCAGAGTTTTATTTAGCCTGACGGCGATGAACTCTGCTGTAGCTAAGATATGCCGTTTAACTGCCTTTGTTTCGATGGACTGCACTATCCATGTTTTCGGTGCGCCGACCTTTTCGGCTAACCATCCGACTATCTAAACAAGCGCAGATGGAGGAAGTGGAACTTGCTTGCCGATCATCTTGGAAGCGAGCCAGCTTCCGAAACACTCATGGGTCGTCTGACCACCGCCTTCAAACGGAATTTCAGTGAAGCCCATGGAAGCGTTCACTTCAGCAGTGTTCAACTGTTTAAAATCTAACGTGAATACTTACACAAATAGGTAGGCGATTTTTTCGCCAATTTCGTGGACCTGACATAGATCTTCCTCGGTTAAAAATTAACCCATTTTCTAATAATTAAGTCTGAACTCATTACTACCTCGTGCCGGTTACCTACGTATGGTTAAACTATCATTCCCTTTTGTCTTTGATTTAGAACTACGAATCCCAAGCCGTTCTGATCAATCTTCTGCTCAGAAACTACCTACACTATCAACTGCACGAACAGGCTTTCAAATTGGTCAGTCGAGTGGTTTTTCCAGAAAGTGCTCCAAACAACGAATGGGCCCGGTATCTGTACTATCTTGGTGGGTTCTAAAAGTTTGCGGACTTTTCTCTCCTTTTTAGACACCTGGCAATGGAATCTTATGTTACCGAAATTCATGCGACAATATCTGTTGATCACTGAGAGACTAAATTGCCTAATCTAGAAAAGCGCTATTTACCACAACATGGGCATGTTTTTCATAGGAATTGTCTTATCTCTTACGGACACCTCATCATAGATCTTCGGGCTAAACTCTCCCTCATGAACTGACTTTCGGTAGTACAGTGTGCTCACGCACGCCTGCAGGGATCTGCAATTCCTCTGTTGTTGCTTCGGGGGCGAGATAGCCCAAGTGGTTAGAGCGCGAATTTACTGACCGGAAGGTCCGTGGTTCGAACCCGACCTTTGCCTCTCGACTTCCCCTGTCTAGGCTTGGGCAACCTGGCAGTATCCCAGCCCTCGTGCTTCCTTCGGGTGGCATGGCAGCTTGGCACCAGAAGGGTGCTACAGCTGAGCGTTTTTTGTTGTTTCTTCAGGTTGGTCCGACGAACTTTTGATGTATGTTACAAAGGTCGCTTAAAGCCTCATATCCTTCGAGAGGCTTTGGTCTCCATTGTGTGGCCTCTTGTTACACTGAGCAAGCTCTCGAGATTCAAGTTGTCTTGCTCTTGTGTTGCATGATAACGGTCCGTGTATCTGTTTTGCAAAGCCGTCTTGCAGACGTACTAATCAACAATTGAATTCTGTTTTGCTTGGGTCCCAGGACATTTTGACCTTATCTTAGGCATCCTTGTGCAACAAGTTTACTACTTGACTAGAATAGGAATTCTATGCACTGAAGATTCGAAAGATGAATGCACAATGTGCATGTAGTTGTACCTTCACAGCGAGTGCAATACCAGTCTGTTGTGGTTGTATTTTACCAGTCCGTCTTTCAACACAATCTTTAACGGTTTTATGGTTGCTTATGTGGCATGTTGTTGGGATACTGTTTGATCCGTAAATGGCAGATTTTGAGAGCAGATTTGGATGCACGTTGATTTCAGCCACATCGAGGACGCTTGCTCTCTGATGCAGCACAATACACGAAATCTACCTTCTAACGTAGCATATATTGGTCATCACCAAGCTGATTTCAACTCATTTTTAGCCAGCACTCGGTTTTTTGAAGTGACATGGTATTGATCGCTACCCAGTTAGCACCGGTGCAGAAATTTCTGCAGTATATCTGCACCCGGGTGTGGAAATTTCCGCACAGAATCGCACCCGAGTGCGGAACCAGTGCGGAAATGAAACAAAATTCTGCACCCAGTCCGCACCTGGGTGCGGAAATGGTGCATCAAAACAAAACCACTCAAATCGGCCGACGGTTTACATTCCGTAGGGACTCGAAAATGCAGAGTATTGTGGTTTTTTTATTACTATGAGTCAAATAAAGAGGCATTGATGCCTCTTAAACGTCTCAATCTCCCGCGGCTTAAAAAGCCGAACATCAAGGCAGAAGTTCTGCACAGGTTCTTCATTCAGGCGCGGATGCGTGCTAACTGGGTAGTTTGCTGAGTTTTGTTGCGCCTCAGTTTTCGGATCTGCTTCCGTAAACCACAGTGAGTTCTAGCTTACTATCTCTGTAGGTGTAAGTCATGGAATTTGGTCACCTGTTTCCACGTTGCTATGGTTTAAAAATGGATTTAACATCTTTGACCGTAATTTCCGCCCGGTTAAAAATGGAAACAAGACTGTGCACCTTGCTTTTCGAGGGTAATGCAGCGGTGGATACTCATTACCTTCTGTTGTAGGTCCGGCGTGGTAAGCATACTTAGCGAAAAATCCAACTTGATGCACCCATTTTTCAGCCATCTCTGGTGGCCTGTTTCATCTAGCGACGAGTTACCAAAACCTCCCCGGTAACTCTTATTTCTGGTCGCAATAAACTATTTATCGTGAAGGTGAGCCTGTCAAATTCAGTGACCATTTGTTCCGGAACCAAACGGTAGTTCGTTGAAGTTAAACAGTTTATTTAGCGGGATATCCATATTTTTAGTTAAGCACCTGCTTCCGGATCGCTACCGTTCAAAGTTGCGTCACGGATACACATGAAAGGTACCACAGCCCGACAAAGTGGAATTTCTTGGATCTCGAAAATATGCTATTGTATATGTGTATGGGCATTTCGCATATTTTCTGGTGATAACATCCTTTAAGGGTTTTCATTCGTACTCGCTTTGATCACCTTGTCCCTTGTGTACGTTTTGCAGGGCGCATAAAGGCAATTCAGCTAGACTATTCTGCCGCCCATGAGCATTTGGTGGCTGCTCTGCGCAAGGCCCCTCAAAATGCCGCAATCGGGTTCAAGCAGGCTCTACACAAGTTGAACACCGTGGTTGAATTGCTACTGGGTGATCAACCAGACCGGTCAGTTTTTCGTCAGGCACATTTCAAAGCAGCTCTTCAACCTTACTTCCAACTGACGCAGTCCATTCATGCTGGTGATTTGGGTCGGTTCAGTGAGGTTGTGCGGGTTCACGGAGCTCAGTTCTCCGCTGACCGAACGTATACTCTCATTATCCGCTTACGTCACAATGTAATCAAAACGGGAGTTCGCCGTATCTCTTTGAGTTATTCACGCATTTCACTTGCCAGTATAGCTGAGAAGCTGCAGTTGGGCAACGCCAAGGATGCAGAATACATTGTAGCTAAAGTACGTTGTATTTCTGTTTAAGGAGTAACACATAATGAAAAACATTTGCTATTCCGTAGAATTCTATCTCCTGAAGACCCTACTGACCCTGGGTCTAAAATCTTTAATGTCCTCCATGCCACTATTAAAATTCCAGAGTAAGCTATTTTTAACTGCATCCGTGAATGATTCAGTGACTGTTCTAGTGTCGCAGATTTGGCCTATCTAATCGGCCCCTACCAGGTTGAGATGGATCGCTCTCTGTCTGTTTATTTCGCATATTTGTTCCCACCCAAAAATTTGCTACCGACTGTGCTTGTTGAGAATTGCATAACGCTGCATTTCGCTAATTATTGACACTGTGATTCTGTCTTTTCAGGCCATACGAGATGGTGTAATTGACGCAAGTATCAATCACGAGAAACAGTATGTAACGACGAAGGAAACCTTAGATTTGTACTCGACAAGAGAACCTTTTGATCAATTTCACCAGCGCATCCGTTTCTGTTTGGGGATCCACAACCAAGCCGTCAAGGCGATGCGCTATCCACCGAAGCAATATAACAAAGATGTGGAGTCCGCCGAGGCAAGTAACCAGTGACTTTTCTACCCTGCTTGCTCATTCGCCTTTTAAAACAGTGAGCCGCAAAAATGTGAGGTAATAAGCAAAGGTATTCTCTTTTGGAGATCAATCCTCTCTCGGGGGAACGGCTTTTTTGTTTCACTCTTCACTATAGCCGGCTCCGTGAGTGCCACGTACTGCAACTGTCCATGCTCGTTTGTATGCGGCGAGATGTGCTCAGATGGTGACCATGTCCTGTTTATAACACCGGACACTAGACGAACCGGAGGCCAAGACGGTCAACATCCGACCCAATAACCACGTCCTCAGTTGACCTTCCCCGTTGGCGATAGCACCAAACGGGATTTTTGGCCCGGGTTGGGAACCTTTGCAAGCTTATTCTACCTTCAGTGTACGTTTCCTAATTATTGTGGTCTTCGATGCTGAATATATATAGGCAGTTTAGACATACTGCACTGTACCATAGACTCCGTGGCTAAGGGACTGACAAGAAATCGGGGTATGCACATAGTACATAGTATAAGTAATGGTATAGTAGTAGCGTAGTACATAGTATAACATCCGTCTCGTGTCAGATTGCGCTCTTTTCCAGGCGTTCTATCCTCCGATCGACGTTTGCTGTTCCTCTGGAAAATACATCTCGAACCGCTTGGTACGAACGTAGATTTCTAGCACTTTACTCTCATGGTGTCTGGTTATCGCGATGCGATGGCTCGTCATACCTACGGTGTGGGAATTGTGCCTTGTCCTACAGCTAAGTGCTCTTTATTAGACTCCAACTAATAAACGCCTTTTCGCACTTAGGTTGACGACAGTGTACCTCGACGTGGTAAACGGTTTTGTTTGCTGTGTCAGCATACGCAACTCTGAGGCTCAAGAAGATAACTTTAATGATTTGTTACGGATGTTTTGGTCAACTCTAGATACAGATATCCAGATTCTGACAGGTGGTATGATTGCACAGGTTGGCCGACTAAGCTCTGAGGCGGGTCATCTTGATGACCGACTCGCAGGTGACGTTCATGGGATGGATGAACACCATGTTTCTAGCCAGCATCGGTGGAAGGCTTCGATACAAGATTGTCGTTCGTTTTGGAATACTGCACTTATCTCTGATCAAGGCACTGTGCAGGCACGCATATCTACTCGCTTTCCTTCTTGGACACTTGCTGATGCAAAGCACCTCTGTAGCTCCACGATATAAAGTTGAGGTGGCTGAGAAGCTCCTACTACTCGAAAGGAAACAATGGTGATTTGGATGATGATTGAAAAAAGTTGGAAGAAGCCATGCTCATAGCCTGTGAAACAATCTGGCCGAGGTAGCCCGCGTACCTCAATGAACACTGGACCTCGTCACGATCAGCAGCTCTGATTAAAGCCAGAAAAGCCATACCAATGATATATGACTGTGGTTGTGCACGCAGATACTTCAGATACCGAATAATGAAAAGCCTAAGGATCGACAGAGCGCTAATGGATAGCACAACCCCGACAAATTGAGAGAGCTTTTGTGAGAGGGAAGAATCGCACCCTGCTCCGGCCGGTCCGAGGAGGGTGGATGTGAGTAAGACAATCACCGAAAAAATGAGACTTCACTTCTTTCACAGAAACCTCTTATTGAACTACGGCCTGCACACTTTGAACAACGGTTCTCCTAGCCCTCATCAGCTCACATTCTGGGAAAAACAAGTAAGCTAGAGTGGAAGGTGGGCACCAGTCCGCCGTCGACAACAAAAGTCCAGCGCGCAACCTCATTGCGTTAATGCAACAAAGCACCTGGTGCAGATGGTTTGCATCCCGCACTCTTCAAAAAAGATGGAGAGTTCATTCTTGTTATCCCAACGACTTTGCTCCAAAGTATCCTGAATACCACCAGATTGGAGCGCCTCAACGGTGATTCCTGTCTTCAAAAACGTTACAAGGATATCGTGCGAAAACCACCGGGGCATCAGTCTAGTGGCCATAGCCTCCAGGATGCCCTCTTTTATTACCCTGTGAATGTTGGTCCGTCGTCGCGATATTCACATTCGCTAAAATCAGACTGGGTTTCACCTTGGTCGTGGTTGCATCAATCGTACCTCCACTGTGCGATGAGTGCTGCTCCTTACGACGACAAACAATGATCTCCGTTGTTCCTCAGAAATTGACAGTGTCCGATGATAAAGTACATCCCTTCTAAATTCTTGTCTCATGAGGGTTTTGTGTATCTCTTGCTATGGATATGTGTGTTTACAGCAAATATGGGCGAGATGGCCCAAGTGGTTAGAGCGCGAATTTACTGACCGGAAGGTCCGTGGTTCGAATCCGACCTCCGCCTCTCGACTTTCCCTGTCTAGGCTTGGGCAACCTGGCAGTGTCCCAGCCCTCGTGCTTTCTTCGGGTGGCATGGCAGCTAGGCACTGGAAGGGTGCTGGAGCTGAACGCTTATCTTTTTGTCTTATTACAGCAAATTATCGCATTAGTTCACCACATAGAGTAATGTCAGGCAGTGGTTTCTTGTGGTTCTTTACCTGCCTCTAACTTCCAAGGCGTTCGCTCACGGATGTTGAGCATGCCGACTGTCAGTGCACAGTTCGTTGTGAGTTTCGCACCTGTTTAGAGTTCGTCTATCTGATCACCTGCATAAGTCGCGGCGGTCTGATTAAAGACTACTTCTCAAATTGGGAAGGCCAAGGGAGTATTTGCCAGCCTCCGATATTTGTGGCGCCGACGTTACATAAGCTTGATTGTTAAGGGTGGAGTTTACAATGCCGCAGTCCAATCTATCCTATTTTATGGATTGGAGGCGTGTCGGCTGCACGCGGAATATCTTCGGAGGCTCTGTTTTTGACCATTGGTGTCTCCGAAGCATTACACTGGTCTGGTAGAAAGATGAGCTCAGTAATGCTTAGCTACGCCAGATGGTCGGAGGGAAAGTGCACACTCTGCCCGATGGATAGTTGGTCACACCACCAGTTGCACTGGTTAGGTCGTGTAACTTGTATGCTACTAACAGGTTACCTCCTAGAACTCTTCCAGTCATGTGTCGGATGGAGGCGATCGAGAGCTTATCAATCCATGACTTGGCCACGAATCACGAAGGCACTTGTCACTCATTTGACTCACATTAGCAGCTGCCTTCTCTAAGGATAGGACTGCGGGACGGCACAAATCAATGACTCAGCCGGTGGCGCCATTTCGTAGTTGTCACTTTCTACCATACTAGCTAAACAGATCCATTTGTCAATGCATGAATTGGAGCATCATCTTCAATGCGTGCCTCATTCCCTTATTCTTTTTATCCCCGGTGAACGAAGCCGTAGCAGCTAGAACCACTGAACGATATGTAAGACTGCCTTCTCTAAGGATAGGACTGCGGGACGGCACAAATCAATGACTCAGCCGGTGGCGCCATTTCGTAGTTGTCACTTTCTACCATACTAGCTAAACAGATCCATTTGTCAATGCATGAATTGGAGCATCATCTTCAATGCGTGCCTCATTCCCTTATTCTTTTTATCCCTGGTGAACGAAGCCGTAGCAGCTAGAACCACTGCACGATATGTAAGCTGAATAACCGAACTGAACTAAGCTAAACATTCAAGCATCACATTAGCATGCGATTGGTTTGCCTTGGGAAGTGCACCGAATGAAACGGATAAATGTATTTCACTCAACTTTTTGGATCGTGCCAACCCATTATCGATAGACAGGGCTTTTCACTCAGGACTGAGTTGTATCGTCGATAGCAATCCGATCCCATCGTTACTGGCTTTACAAAACCCGGTAGAATTAAGCAAAACAGTGACGTTTCATCTGAATGCATGTGACAAGTGAAACAAGCGCAGCTAGATTATTTATGTTTGGTGACCCCTGTTCCCTAACTAACTAAGCTTTGACTATGTGGACTACTAATCAGCTTCATTGGGCTGGAATAGCACACAGTGGTTTTGATAGGTTTGGCTGATTACACGTTAGAAATCCCTTGGGCATATTAACGGTTGGAGTAGTAAGCTTGCTAGCTTGGTTAAGTCAGCATAAATACTTCAGTTTAGTTCTTAAGTGTTCGTCGTGAGCTATGAGTTCGAAATGAGTTAGCGAGCAGTTCAGCAACCCATGGTTAGCCATATCGATCTCCAGATGAGATTGTCCGATTCGATGAGATTTACAATAATCAATAAGTGCCATTTAATACGTTCGTGATTTTAACGTATTAGACTAGGGGTCAAGACAACTCATTCAGGATCGATGATGCTTGCAAGTCAAAAAGTGTGGAATACCTAGCTGAGGGTACGTTAATGAGAGCGCCTTTTAATGGTCAATGGGACCATAAAGCCACATCTGAGGTGAATTGCTCGCACTATAGACTCAATCTGTCCAGCCCTACGGTTTTTTTTCATTGAAGCGGGACCACCACACAGCATTCCACCCGTAGAGCGATCTACCTTAGTGAAAAACCACATCAGTCACTCAGGGAGGTTGATTCGTATGAGGAAGGCATGAAAATTTCTCCCACATTTCACTTATTTGTCGGTGATATTGATTCTTTCATCCTGGGGGTCAACTGCGTTGTTCACCCATGCTATTGAAGGTCGGTTTTACCCACACATTCATAAAAAACGGCCTTTACCCAGAGTGCCAAATCATACGGAATTCGGACAACCCTGAACCGCTGTCATTTCACCGATGTTTGTTTTATCTTTTCTTTCAAAACATTTTGTGCATACATTAGTCAGATAGCAACCATTGGCTATAT